ATTATTCTTTGAGCTAAAAATAACAAAAAGATATTCAGCTACCGGGCTTCGAATCCGGAAATTTAGTCAGAGAGATTATCTTTTGACTAAACACAGAGAAATTTCACGTATCCTCTCATCAAATCTCCGGTTGGGTTCACTCGCTCTCTGATCCATGTTCTTCGGGTGAATAAATTGACAAGCTGAGCCATTCTTACAACGAGGATGATTTAAAACGCAATGTCTTCCAAAGCCACATAGACCGGTTTTTATGTAATACATACKGTCTCTTTCACCGGGACGAACTGGATAGTCCCTTTCGATTCTCTCATCAAATCTCCTATTTGTATCCTGAAAATCTAAATCAAAATAAAAAAACGTTATATCAAACAAAAGCATAACACTGTGTAACATGTTAGTTTCTTCTTACCCTATTCTTGTGTTGCAAGAATCTCGACTCTGTTTCATGGCTTCTCCTTATAATTATTCTTTGAGGTAAAAATAACAAAAAGAAAATTTAGTCAAAGAGATTTTCCTTGGTTTTAGCTTTTGTGCTACCTGCCGGGTTTCGAACCCAGAAATTTATTCAAAGAGATTTTCCTTGGTTTTAGCCTTTGTGTTACACCGGAGTTGTGTGTTATCTATGAATTATAAATGTGTATATATACATATAATTATTCTTTGAGCTAAAAAATAACAAAAAGATATTCCGCTGCGGGGCTTCGAACATAGTCAAAGAGATTTTCCTTGGTTTTAGCCTTTGTGTTACATCGGAGTTGTTTATTTGTTATGAATTATAATTATATATATATACATATAATTATTCTTTGAGCTACAAATAATAAAAATATATTCGGCTGCCGGGTTCGAACCCGGAAATTTAGGCAGAGAGATTATRTTTTGACTAAAACACATGATCGTTTGTGTGGTCTATTGTATTCTGTTGAAAGAACGAAAACAACCTACATATTTCCCTTACACTGTTACGTAAGAGATTGGTTTATTAATTACAATTCTTTGTCTAAGACCTAAATTGCTGAATTAGTAACTGAAATATTCAAAACATCTTGAACATAAGGGCTTCTATTTTCCACAATCTCTTCAATAAATCTCCTATATTCCACAATCAATTCCCTGACAAAAAGAGAGACAGACAAATACAAGTAAGAGAGTCGGATCTTTCTTCTTCTCAATATCTTCTTCGTTGATTCAACG